GTTTGAGCTAGGTGATATCTTTCAGTGAAAGATACCACTGTTTTTATTACGGAAAGTTCTCCATAAATGTGTTAAAAATGCTCTTCAGTGGATTAAAAGACACTGACTGACACTGGTTTAGTAAACGAGTTGGCGAAGCCAGATAACTCTTGGATTTTGGGAAACACGGTGACGCAGCTCAACATGAACTGATTGAAAATACAATACAAAACATGAATAGACGCTTTTGATCAATCTCGTTACTTACGTCACGAAGTTTAACTAGAAACGTCTTGAGTGGCTCAACATAATTCTCGAAACCAAGTGAACCCATAGCACAGAGTATGTCTTCGCCGTTTATAGTCTTTCGCTTTTCGTTTTGGCAGCGTTCAGCAGCTCTAAAAGAAGGGTATTAAATAGGTACCAGAATAAAATGAGGCTACTCGCTGGTGATGAAGCTTATAAATTCTGAGACGCATTCTTGAACACACTCTTTGGCATCTTTTGCAACCTACAAAATTACTACTATTAACAAATACTTGCCTTGCCATTGGGAGGGATTGCACGTTTCATTATTTTTGAAACGTTAGCAATCGGGAGAAAGCGATCCTAACGAAGACCGAATAAAAATATGGAAAACAAACTTGTTCGCGCAGAGGTGACTGCTGGACACCATCACCAGTTTGATACTCTCCGTCGTGGTCATTCATAGAACCTTCAATTGTCTCGTAATAAGCAGCCTCCGCGTATGAAGGCTCGTCGTTTTGATTTTCCGACATCGAATTCATATCTACGCCAAAGCAGAACATGAATATAATTATGCTTGAATATATTGAATAAAGTAGTTTTGATAAAGGAACAATAACATACAAGGATAACACTGACCTGCACGGCTAGCCATAGTAATAATTTTCAGACACACCAAAAAGGATGTAGTATAAATAGGGCTGAAACAATGATGTTCTGGAGGTATTCTTCGGTAGCAATGACTTAAGATATTGAATTGTACAAAATTATGACATCTACTTGATATCTACCTAAACGAACATGATCATATATTCAGAGACTTAAATCTTTCTACACATTCAGCGCGATCCTTCGATGACGCTGAACTTATTGGAAGCAGAGACAAACAAGCAATGCAGACGATACCTTGCCATAACAGTAATACAAAGTAGATGTTGCAGCATAATATAAGGGTTGCTACGACCCAGTTACATCATTAAAGTGTAAAAACCATTCATCGTCGGCTGAGATTTGCATACTCACATTACTGTCATGGGAGTTAGGAACCCACTAGAAGGCAGATTAAAGTAGATATGCGAAAAAAAGACCTGCAGCTATGAGGAATAGGGGAGGAAGGAGAAAGGTATAGTCTCGGCCAATTTTACGAACAATTTTAAAGTTGTCAGATAAAGCTCTCTACCGTCTTGTTTGTCGGAATATATGTCATTAGTTACTAACACCATAGGCCTTCTCATGCTATTGACCTTTTGGCCGCTGTTTTGTGAATTCAGGGCTTCTGTCGTCCATGCCAGTAAATATTTTACTGTCTACGTTATAAACACTACCTTGGCCGTACAAGAGAGATGATCATTGACCGCGAAGTACAGCACTGAAATAACTGGGTGGCACAAAGTAAACTTTTTGAACAACTTGCAACTGCACATCAAGTTTCGGGATATGAAAGAGGCTGTCAAAAAGAAGTGGAAAGACGGAGTATTATGTACCATGAAACACTTCCGGGTTTGTGAGGTGTGACAGCACTAACCATGCGCTTAAACTTGGGCAGAGGCAGTCTGTTGCGCCCACATCAATCAATACCATAGTTTCTGATAGAAAATAATAAAGGAATAAAATTTGTTGCTCCTATTAAACGGGAATATCAGAAAACGGGTGAAACCTGCTGATATTTCATAGCGTACTACTTCAATAAGCATGTTTATATGCTAGTGTTCCTGTGCTAAAGCACGAAGCAATACAGGAAAAATCCTAGGACAAAACACTTCAGGAAGAAATTAGTCAAAGGTATGAGCAAAAGTGAAAACCTAATACATACATGGGACTCACAAAAAAACGGCAATTTAAAAATGGGAAGCGCACAGGACAGTTGACATCCGCAGGATGCAACCTTTATAAGGAAAGTTAATTCGCACCAAATAAAAAAGGCGGTCAACCAATGCACACTGAAAACCCGGACAACTGGCAAATAAATCGGGCAAGACGCACCAAGACCAAAAGAGACGGGAGAAATCTACCCCAGTAAATATAAGCTTATGAACAAACGGTCACTTAAATATTGAGGGTTCAAGTTGGTAAGACGGGATTGATAGTAAAGCTCCCCAAAATTCAGGAGCATTTTAAATAATCTCTGTGGATACTATTGCAAAATTCGGACCTTATGGTAAAAAGACTACTTTACGATGACACCAAATCCGATGATGGCCAAGGATAATTGATTGTGGCGAACTTCAGTCAGTGTATTTCAGTAAAAAAGTAGGCTTACACCTTTGGTTTCCCATTTTGACATCAAAATCTCAAGAAGTAGAAACATGGTAAAGAAATTAAATTTAGGTGAATGCGGACAGAGCCGCATCGTGCATTGGTATTTTAAGGTAAATGGGACATGTTGTTCACGTTGTGCTGTAACTGATGGATATCATATCAGCGTTTGCATGTCTCCAAGGACTGGGACATTGCAGTCGTCTCGGATAGGTTATTCGGCGGTTCCATGTCCCGGTTAGAGAAAAAATGCTTCAGTACATCGAATCGTCCTTGGAGCACATATAGTTTGAAGAGATATCCCCGGAAATTAATTTTGTAGTGAAGACTCGGAAAAATTCGTCTCACAAGAGGGTGCAGTCCAAGCGACGCACGATACGGGAAGTTTATATTAAATCTTAACATAATTGCCTATAATTCAGAGGATAGAGATTCACGTTATGTAGGTGGACCTCATATGGGTGTGCACCTTGGCTCCAAACTAAATCCGTGATATGCTGATGCACCCTTTCGAACAGTTTGTAATCCTGCTGCCCCCACGTTTTCCAGGCTTGGATCGCTTAGTCAAGATGTCACCTTATATAAGTACCGAGGATTTTCCGAAAACAGTCTTCATCAAAAACGGTGGGTGCCTGCTTGATGACACTAAAGTTGCAGCATTCGACGGCTTACAACCTTGTGTAGAATGCTTGAGGTTGTCTGTCATCCAGATGCTGGGATCTTTCTGTATTTTGACATCTCAGAGTGGCATTCCGTTTACATAGTATGGTCGCGTATTAGGGACCTGGTTCCGATTTCCCATACGCAGCAGCGTGCATTCGTTCCAATTGCAGAAAAGGAGCCATCTGCGTGGCCACTCGTTTAATCAACAAATGTTTTACTTGAAGTCAGGTTCATCGGCAGCAGTCTTGATGACCTTCCATATTTTATATCATCTGAAAACATGGCAAATTTACAACTCAATTCCTGTACACAATCATTAACTAAAAAGAGAAAGCGAGCCGTTCCGAGCACTGAGGAACTCTACTCTCGATAACCATGGGCCTTGATTGTTGTCGACCTACTCACACAACTTGGCCACGACCTGCAAGGAAATTCTTAACCCACGTAGAGAAGTGACTATTTTATCTGTTTAAACTTTTAAATAGTCGTATCTTTAATCGCCTTAGTAATCTGAAGCAGCTCGACCACTTTCGGTGCACCAGTCACCGAGGTGTCTTTTATTTATTCCTCTGGCACGCACAGTTAGCTATCAGCAGTTTTTTTTTCATTTAACGCCATAACAATCTGGAATAAGCTGCCCAGTAATATCGAAAGCCCGCAAATATGTCCTTTGCTTAAGAGAACTGTCACATTTTTCACGAATTTTTGGTGCTGACTTAGTGCAATGTCTCTTCCGCTGTAATGGCGATCACGGACACTGAACCCTATTCCGGGCTTCATGCTGAGAGCAATGGGGTTGATTCTGCTGCACGCAATAGGCTAATTCCTCAGCCAACAGCGAGAAACCGTTCACCAATACATGCTTATATGGCGTAGAATACCGGATCCATAACACCAAATTGAGACCTACCACACCGTTCGTCTTTGCCAACGCTTCCCCGTACCGAACTTCAATAATCTAACGAGCTGTAGCTTCTTCTCCTTAGAAACACTAGAGAGAATGATCAGGAGATTTTCCACTGTGAGCTCGATTCTCTACTGCAAATACTTTTGACCTTGCCTGTAACGTGGAAACCAATAAATAAATTGAAAGCGTTTGGCTCCGATGCCCATCACTCTCGAATTGCGCAGGAGACGTTTTAGAAGGTCTTCCCGAAACCAAAGTAGGCCACATGTACGGTGTATTTTTTATCAATAACCCTTATTCAGCTTTGTATAGCATAAAGCAAGTTCGTTACACACGACCGACCTCTAAGAAGGTCATATTTTGCATTGCAAAAGTGATTGTAGGTTTCACAATAAGTCGTCAAGTACTTTTTGATGATTCTCTCCATACCCACACGGGATATGGAGGTCAGACTGATGGGTATATAAGTGTCAACAATTGCACGACTACCGCTTCTGTAAAGCACTTGATGTATGCTGTTTTTCAGTCTG